CCTGACTCCCTGAGAGGAGTACCTTTTTGCAGAGTCCTTTACTGAGAATTCAGGCCTTTACCAAGAGGAGGAAGACCTCCCCCCTTTAAGCAGGAGACCCCTTCCGTCCATCCAGCTGTAGGAGACCTCTGGCTACCTGGATCTGCTTTGGATTAGCACTGCATCCTTAAGGGAAGATCAACCCACTTTGACCGGACCAGTTCTCTCCTTGATTGAGGATCTATGGGCTTTGATGCATACCGCTTACTTACATCTGTCTTCTGGTGAGTGCGCATTCTGCTTTTCTTCACAGACCGCCACCATTGAGTTTCTACTTGTCATCTGGCACGTTTTTATGAATAGACTTTAGTGGACTTTCTTTCAGACTTTATTATCTAGCGCTGCACTTTTGTTGATATTACTCTGTTTAAGTATTTTTTGGTTGCTTAGAGTGCTTAGCTGCTTTTTTGGATTAGCGCTCACTCTTTTATTATTATATACTGTACATAATATACAGTATGACTCTATGGAGCAGATACATTATTCAACTCCAATTATTGGCCATATTCTGTCACATGATCATAGTTCATGCAATGTGTGGTTGGCAAACAACCCAACAAGTTCACCAGTCTCAGTCAGTCCAAAACTCTTAAACTGGGACAGACTGAGTGCACACAGAAGTGAGGGGGCACTGCAGACACAGAGTACAGCCTGCAAAATCCCCACCTCCTCTGAAAAGTGTAGGATGTTTAGTAGTTTCCAGCATGTGCAGGAGGAATAGCTGCAGAATGGGAAGGGGGCTATGGGAAGATATAAAAACTCATTCTTAAAACAGTTGCTGAAGAAGCAGAGGGGGCATGGATGCAGAATGAAGAGGGGCTGTGGGAGGATGGGGGTCAGGCCAAAATAAGACCCCCTTTTTTCCAAACAAAATATGGTGTTACAAATGCCACATATTCAGTGCACTGCAATCTTCTTCAAAAGATATCTTGCAGCTATGCCCTGAACCCGGTCTTTCAGACTGTGCTGGAAACTGTTACATTTCTGTACCATTGTGAAAGCATTTTTGAGAGTAGGCTTAGGGGACTTTTCCTTCTCTTTAGGTGGCTTAACCTCTTGGTGCCAACATAACACAAATATGCAGCCCTACTAGAGTGGGATTTTTTCTGTGGGGCCACACATTTGCGCATTTCCCTTTGCTCTGGGAGCCAGCCACATGGCAGCACAGCGACAAGGGTCTGACCGACAGCCCCAGGTCCCGTACTAACGATCGAGACCAGGAACTCCCGAATCTGGGTTACCTGATCAATGTGATAGCCTCTGATTGGCTATCACAGTGATAAGTCACTGTGAAGCCAGCCCCCATGTCTTCTCTCTCTCTGAATGGGTCAAAAGTCAAGGTTAGGATCAAAGGTCAGGATTTTTTTTTTTTATTAGTACACTATATTGCCGAAAGTATTGGGACACCCCTCCAAATCTTTGGATTCAGGTGTTCCAATCACCTCCATGGCCACAGGTGTATAAAATCCAGCACATAGGCATGCAGACTGCATCTACAAACATTTGTGAAGCAATGGGTCACTCTCAGGAGCTCAGTGAATTCAAGTGTGGCACCGTGATAGGTTGCCACCTGTGCAATAAGTCTATTCGTGAAATTTCCTTGTTACTAAATATTCCACAGTCAACTGTTAGTGGTATTGTAACAAAGTGGAAGCAACTGGTAACAACAGAAACTCATGAAGTGGTAGGCCATGTAAAATGACAGAGCGGGGTTAGCATATACGGAAGCACAGAGTGCGCAGAAGTTACCAACTGTCTGCAGAGTCAATAGCTAAAGACCTCCAAATTTCATGTGGCTTTCAGATTAGCACAACTACAGTGCATGGAGAGCTTCAAGGAATGGGCAGCTGCATCCAATTCTTACATTACCAAGTGGAATGCAAAGCATCAGATGCAGTGGTGTAAAGCATGTCACCTCTCTGGAGCGACAAATCACGCTTCTCTGTCTGGAAATCTGGTGGATGTATCTGGGTTTGACAGTTGCCAAGAGAACGATACTTGCCTGACTGCCACTTAGTTCCAGTGAAGGGACTCTTAAGGCGTCAACATACCAAGACATTTTGGACAATTTCATGCTCCCAACTTTGTGGGAACAGTTTGGGGATAACCCCTTCCTGTTCCAAAATGACTGCACACCAGTAAACAAAGCAAGGTCCATGAAGATATGGGTGAGCGAGATTTGGGTGAAGGAATTTGACTGGCCTCAACCTGATAGAACATCTTTGGGATGAATCACAGAAGAGACTGCAAGCCAGGCCTTCTCGTCTGACATCAGTGCTTGACCTCACAAATGCACTTCTGGAAGAATGGTCAAACATTCCCATAGACACACTCCTAAACCTTGTGAACAGCTTTCCCAGATTTGAAGCTGTTATAGCTGCAAATGATGGGCCAACTCAATAATGAACCCTACAGATTAAGATTGGGATGCCATTAAAGTTCATGTGCAGGTAAAGGCAGGTGTCCCAATACTTTTGGCAATATAGTGTATCAGTGTCCGTTAGTGTCAGTGTTAGTTTTTTAGGTAGGACAAAAAAAAAGCAAAATGTGCACTATTGTTTCTGGGCTGTACTATGGGTACAAACAAGAAATAACATACACAAATGTGGTGTCGCTGTGATTGCCAGGGGCAGGAGAATTTATTATGGTTTGTTCTTTGGTGGTAGATTATGGTAATGACAAGAAATATACAGCTAAATTTTTAAAAACATATATTTTTTTTTTTACTAAAAAAATAAAGAGATATTCATGACCATTTACCACCAAATGAAAGCCCAATTTCTTCTGAAAAAAAAAACAAGGTATAATCCACCTGGATGTAGTTGTGATGATATTGATATGATACAATTTTATGAACACATGTCAAAGTTGAAAAATTTTGCTTAGGCATTAAGAATTGTTTTACTCTGAAGGGGTGATGTAAAGAAGGGGTAAAGTACAGAGGCAATAGTACTTTTGGCTGGAATAAAGTCTCTTCCCCATCAACCTCCAGCATAGAGGCAACAGTCATCTCAGGTTCATCTGGCACTAGGTCCTGGGCATCTGTAGTCTGAGGAGATGACAACTCTTCACAAACTGGGCTAAGTGTTTGGTGAACTTTTGTAAACAACTGTCTCCATCTCCAGCAGCTTTTCGATGGCTGTACAGTTGCCAGAGGGAGTCTGGGTGCTCCTCCATCATCTTAAGCTCTGTGCTCAGCAATACATACACCTACGTTTATACTTGTAATGCCACAGGAGAAGAGGAATACTTGTCCATGGCTGCAGGGTAGAGATCATAGAATGCAGTAGAGCTTAAATAAGATACAGCCTTTACAGCAGGGTCAGGATGATATGTAAAAGCTTTGCTACATAAATCTTTTCACATGTGCAGGTGACAAAGTCACAGTGTAACATGATTGGGAAGTCCTTTCTGCCACCTAGCATAAAGACCCATTTAAAAGGATATTTGGATTATTGATTATAGATCCATTATGGATCCATGATGTGCTGGAAAAATATGTTCTTATTGACAATGTTCACACATCGCACTCCTGTCACTAAATGACAGATTACAGGACAGTTGTTGTGTGTAACTGGGCAGAGACCCTGGGTGACATCTTTAACAAAAATTGGTATAATGATATTGGGTCAACAATATCACCTAGGATCCCCAAGTGGTTTACTTACAAACACCAGCCATCCAGGGATCTGACATTTGTGGCGGTAGTGCTAATGCCATAAAATGACTGCTCTCCAGTTGATGCATGGCAGGTTCTAACAGATAAACTGGCCAAACATGGTCAATGTTCAGTCATTCACTGAATTATGAAAAGGTTCAACATGCAACCAAATATAGTTCTTAATCTTAATATATTCCAAGTTTCAGACAGGTAGACAGAGTATTTACTTACAATAGCAGAGATAGGCCTATGATCAGAATACATATAGACAAGCTGAATACAAACACAGTCCAAGCAATCCACATGAGTGATCCATGGTATAATCCGAGTCAGATAGAACAGCTACAGGGCATGAACGAACATAGTCTACAGTCAACTTACCCAGTTTCCTCCCACCCCTAGTACATTTACTATGGGTAGATGGCACGGGCAGGCTGGATTACATACATGTACATCACCAACTGAGGAGTGCGCAGTGCAATGCTCCCACAACCACCACTTTGAGTGGCCAGGGCAGCACATGATCGCTATGCAATCACATGATCACAATTTAAACACAACTGTTATGAAACGGTTTATTTCATACCAGCTGTGCTTAGTATTGTATTGTTGTGATTAGCCCACAGCTATAACATGGTACCTGGGCCAATCACAGCACCCTGCATCATGTGATAGCTGTGGGCCAATCACAGCACACAGCTGTTATGAATGTAACTCATTCATGACATTTCAAAACATCGCTGTTACAGTGATCATTACTGTATCATAAATCAAAGTGTAAAAAAAATCCCTGATCACTGCACCAGAGTAGTACAGTGTTACTAGGGTATGTAATGTAATGGTAAGTATGTGAAAACTAGTGAAAAAAGAAACAAAGTTAACAGAATTTAAGAAAATGTTTGTTTTAACATACTATTACTAGTCAGTATCCCTCATCAATGCCACACCAGTCATATGATGATGTATTTAATTTCTTTGGTTTCCCAAAAATTGTGACAAAAAAACTACTTAAAAAAACTCACCATGCCTCTTAATAAGTATATACTTTCCCAGAAAGGGTCATTGGGTACTGTCTTGGCATTTTAACTAGCTGCCGACCACAGATAGCCGAATGACGGCTGCACTGCGGCCGGCCAGTTCTGGGTGGACGTCATATGACGTCCTCCCAGAACGCGCTCTCCTATGGACACAGCTGATCACTACGGACACAGCTGATCACGTGATGTGGTAAAAGGCCAATCACAGCGGCCTTTTACCACGTGATCAGCGGTGTCCAATGACACGCTGATCAGAGGAAAATGCAAGTGCCGGTTCTCGGCTGCACTTTCCTCATGCTGTCAGATCGTGAGGAAAGTACTGCCGAGAACCGGCAGTTGTCAGAGCGGGGATCGGCACCGATCATCAGGGCACTGATGATCAGTGCCCTGATGATCGGTGCCCAGCAGTGCCACCCGCAAGCTCCGCCCACCTGTGCCCAGCAGTGCGCCCACTAGCTCCGCCCACCTGTGCCCAGCAGATCACCCACCTGTGCCCAGCAGTGCACCCACCTGTGCCACTCTGCAGTGTCACACACCTGTGCCCAGAAGTGCCACCCACCTGTGCCCAGAAGTGCCACCCACCTGTGCCCACCCACCTGTGCCCACCCACCAGTGCCACCCACCAGTGCCACCCACCAGTGCTGCCAGTCATTGCCACCAGTCAGTGCCCAGGGGTTGTGCCAGTCAGTGCCGCCAGTCAGTGACCAGCAGTGATGCCAGTCAGTGCCGTCTATCAGTACCCATCATCAGTGTCGCCTATCAGTGCCGCCTATCAGTGCTGCATATTAGTGCCGCCTATCCGTGACACCTCATTAGTGCTGTCTATCAGTGCCGCCTATCCGTGCCACCTCATTAGTACTGCCTATCAGTGCCCTTTAGTGCTGCCTATCAGTGCCCATCAGTGCTGCCTATCAGTGCCCATCAGTGCTGCCTCATCAACGCACATCAGTGAAGGAGAAAAATTACCTGTTTGAAAAATTTTATAATAGAAACAAAGAAACTTTTTTTTTTTTCAAATTTTTTGCAATTTTTGTATTTATAGCGCAAAAAGTAAAGCGCCCAGTGGCGATTAAATACCACCAAAAGAAAGCTCTATTTGTGAGAAAAAAATGATCAAAATTTCATATGGGTACAATGTTGCATGACCGCGCAATTGTCAATCAAAGTGCGGCAGCGCTGAAAGCTGAAAATTGGCCTGGTAAATAAGGGGGTATAAGTGCCTGGTAGGCAAGTGGTTAAGGAATTCAAGAAATTAGTCTGTCAATATATTGATTGATTGATCCGTTTTCAAATATGTATACCATAGTTTGCAGACACTATCATTTTCACACAAACAAACTAATGTATACTTATTGGGATTTTTTTTTTACCAAACACATGTAGAAGAATACTTTTTGGCCTAAATTTTGAAGACATTTGATTTTTTTGGATATGTCTTATAATAGAAAATATTTTTTTTTTCAAAATGCTTATTTTTTTTTGTTTATATAGCAACAAAAAAAAAACCTAGTGGGGATAAAATATTACCAAAATAAAGCTCAAAAAGAATGCCACCAAGGACTGCTTTACTGATGACTCCCAATATCTAAATACATATTGCTTAAAATAGCCTAGCAAAAATAACAATTTTAAAAATATGTACACCTCAACCCTAGCTTCTGGTACTTCTTTGATGTGGATGTTATTACTGTGCCTTACTGATGCCTCCTGGAAAAACAGGGTCTACTTCTGCATTGTGCTTTCCTAGAAGGCAACTATGATGCAACTATGATGCACAGTTACAACCCATGCATAATGCTGTAATCAAAAATGTTACACATGGAGCTACAGGTGAAACTCGCAAAATTAGAATATCGTGCAAAAGTTCATTTATTTCAGTAATGCAACTTAAAAGGTGAAACTAATATATGAGATAGACTCATTACATGCAAAGCAAGATAGTACAAGCTGTGATTTGTCATAATTGTGATGATTATAGTTTATAGCTCATGAAAACTCCAAATCCACAATCTCAGAAAATTAGATTATTGTCAAAGGTGCAATATTCTAGGCTCAAAGTGTCCCACTCTAATCAGCTAATTAAGCCATAACACCTGCAATGGGTTCCTGAGCCTTTAAATGGTCTCTCAGTCTGGTTCAGCAGGAATCACAATCATGGGAAAGACTGCTGACCTGACAGTTGTGCAGAAAACCATCATTGACACCCTCCATAAGGAGGGAAAGCCACAAAAGGTAATTGCAAAAGAAGTTGGATGGGAAAAGTGTGGAAGAAAAAGGGTGCACAAGTAGCAGGGATGACCGCAGCCTGGAGAGGATTGTCAGGAAAAGGCTATTCAAAAGTGTTGGGGACTTTCACAAGGAGTGGACCGAGGCCGGAGTCAGTGCATCAAGAGCCACCACACACAGACGGATCCTGAACATAGGCTTCAAATGTCATATTCCTCTTGTCAAGCTGCTCCTGAACAACAAACAACGCCAGAAGCGTCTTACCTGGGCTAAAGAAAAACAGACCTGGTCTGTTGCTCAGTGGACCAAAGTCCTCTTTTCTGATGAGAGCAACTTTTGCATCTCATTTGGAAACCAAGGACCCAGAGTATGTAGGAAGAATGGAGAGGCACACACTGCAAGATGCTTGCAGTCCAGTGTGAAGTTTCCACAGTCTGTGTTGATTTGGGGAGCCATGTCATCTGCTGGTGTTGGTCCACTGTGCTTCATTAAGTCCAGGGTCAACGCAGCCGTCTACCAGGAGATTTTGGAGCACTTCATGCTTCCTTCCGCAGACGAGTTTTATGGGGATGCTGACTTCATTTTCCAGCAGGAATTAGCACCTGCCCACATACTTTTCAGAGGTCCAATATTGTTCTATGTACAATCCTTGTTTTATTGATTGCATGTAATATGCTAATTTTCTCAGATTGTGGATTTGGGGTTTTCATGAGCTGTAAGCCATAATCATTACAATTATGAAAAATCACGGCTTGAACTATCTTGCTTTGCATGTAATGAGTTTATCTCATATATTAGTTTCACCTTTTAAGTTGCATTACTGAAATAAATGAACTTTTGCACAATATTATAATTTTTCGAGTTTCACCTGTAGAGTATTATTGACTGGGGCAGGTAGACTGTCTGGCTGCTGGAGTCCTCCAGTGTGTTGATGACCAAAGGAGCATCTTTTACAATTCTAATCAAACACAATTAAAGAAAAATGCCAAAATCTATATGTGTTGTTTATAGCCTGACTACTAATAAGTAAAAAAACAAAGTCTCAGATGAACTCTAAGGGAAGAGCAACTATACAGTACACTTCTCAGGGGAAAATGCCCACGTTTAGCCATTTAGCACTGTAGAAATTATTTAAAATTGTTTAAAACGCTTGTAGAAACTCATCCTTTGTCCTCTTTATGACAATTATCATCACTATTTTTTAATTAAATTAGGATAATGTGATTATATACTGGAAGACTGAATGAAGAATTCTATTTGTAAAAAGGCCTTTTAACTAAAGGACATGAACATAACTCATGAGTGTGAATCAAAACTAAAGATTACACAGATGTAGCAAGAATACAGTATTATAAACAGATGTTTATATCTTGGTACTTCTAGTTAATTGTGTATGTATGGAGGGGTATTTTATGGATAATTACATCAATGTGTTTGAAGCACTGACATCTCTTCATGTAATTTAACAGAGGAATTGTATTTACCGCAGGCACATTTTTACAAAAAAATGGGAGAACTATACATGCTTGTATTTCCTTTTGTTTTTCTTTTGAATGCTTATATTAAAGTATATTATAATTGGCCTTATGGTTTGAGTTACACAATAAACAGTAGTGACTAGTGTGTCTGAGAGTTGAATGCCAGGAAAATATAAATTGATTACTACTTAATCCAGTTATGTACCATAAAATAGATTAGCCTACTGCAATACCTTGAACAATAGTACCCAAACTGGTAAAAGGTCAGTATTTTCAGCCGATCAGGACCATAATACTTTGAACAATGCTGTCACTCTGTGAATATGCTGGAAATAAGGAAAAGCACAAGAAACAACATGCTGCTGCTCCTTTATTGTCGAATTACAGAGAGGGGCGGATCCAGCATAGTAGAATCCAGGAGCTAAATGAGTTGGTGCATGGATCGCAAGATTAGTTTATCTGAATTACAATTATTTTTTAAGGTGACACACATATACATATATATACAGTTGCAAGAAAAAGTATGTGAACCCCTTGGGATTATGTGGAGTTTTGCATGAATTGGGCATAAATTGTGCTCTTAACGTCATCTAAGTCACAACAATAGAAGAACACAGTCTGCTGAACATAATACTACACAAACATTAGATGTTGAAATGGTTAAATTGCACATAACATGTAAACATTCACAGTGCAGGGAGGAAAAAGTATGTGAGGCCCTAGCATAATGACTTCTCCCAGAGCTAATTGGAGTCAGGAGTGAGCCAACCTTGACTCCAATCAGTGTGATGATATTGGATGTGTTGCTGACAGCTGTCCTGCCCTTAAAAACACACACCTGTTTTGGGTTTACTGGTTTCAAGAAGCACTGTCTGATGTGAACCATGCCTCGCAGAAAAGAGCTCTCAGAAGACCTACGATCAAGAATTGTTGACTTGCATGAAGCTGGAAAGGGTTACAAAAGTATCTCCAAAAGCCTTGATGTTCATGTGTCCACGGTAAGACAGACTGTCTACAAATGGAGAAAGTTTAGCACTGTTGCTACTCTCCCTAGGCATGGTCGTCCTGTAAAAATGACTGCAAGAGCACAGCGCAGAATGCTGCTGTCAGGAATGGACTTGCCAATAGTGGTGGGACTCACCTGCCTTGTGGGCTGCAGTACCAGGGCTGGCCAGCGGGTGCTCTCAACAACCAGAGGTTCACTTCGGCAATTAGCCATCACCTGGGGCTGATTGCAGGTGTATTTAAGGGATGGCCAGACCTGCAGTCTGTGCCTTTGTGTGTGTTTTTCCATGAGCCCCTATATCTTGTAACCTGCATTCCTGTTCCTGTTCCTGTTTCTGCCTGACTTGTTGCCGACCCTGCCTGATCCTGACCTCTGCTGACTTCTCTCCTGTTTTGATCCCTGGCTTGTGACCCTGACCATTCTCTCCGCCTGCTCCTCCTGTACCTACCTGCCCGATAGTTCTCGACCCGGCCTGCCTAACTACGTTGTGCTCTACATGTGTATGTACCTGGGTATCTGTATCAGTTTAGGTTTGGGTTTGTTTCACCTTGTTGTATGTATTTGTGTTAGCTTGGGGTTTGGTGCACTGCGTTTATGTTTGTATTGTTAGTCTTTAATAAAGCGTCTTATTTATACCATATCTGAAGCTTGCGTTTCCCTGTGTCAGTCCACACACTTCTGGTCACACCTGCATCTCTGACAGCTGCATGAGGTAAAGAAGAATCCCAGAGTGCCAGCTAAAGACCTACAGAAATCTCTGGCACATGCTAACATTTTTGTTGACACATCTACAATAAGGAAAACATTAAACAAGAATGGAGTACATGGGAGGACACCACGGAGGAAGCCATTGCAATGATACCAAACATACCGCCCGGGCAACGAAGGAGTGGCTTCGTAAGAAGCATTTCAAGGTCCTGGAGTGGCCTAGCCAGTCTCCAGATCTCAACCCCATAGAAAACCTTTAGATAGAGTAGAAAGTCCGTGTTGCCCATTGACAGCCCCAAAACATCACTGCTCTAGAGGAG